TATATATATATATATATATATATATATATATATATATATATATATATTGTTTTAATTTCAATTAAGAGCTTACTGTGCTAAAGAAAGTCAGAAGTCAATCTCCTTTTTCCTTTTTCACCTTTTCCCTCTTTTATCCTCTCCTTCCTAGTTTTTCTTTTTGTTATTTTGTATATCTTTTTGAGATTTAAATACATTTTAAAAAACAACAAAATCCTCAGCCTTTCCTTTTGAATTAAAAAAATAGTAACAAAAAATACACACAGAAAACTGCATGCTGTAACTTAACATGGTTAAAGTAGCCAAGAAACAGATAGTTTTGAGAACTGGTAGAAAAAAACAAATTACACACAATCAAGTAAACTCTGCAGCCTATTTTTGATATCTTACAACTGAGAGTTTAGGAAGTTGTATACTGAATTTTCATGTACAGTGCTTACCAAATTATAAAGTTCATTATTTCCTAAATCTAGTTCTTCTAGTCTCTGCAGCTGGGCAACTGACCTGAAAATCAGGAACAATATAATTTTAAAAGATCATAAACACAAAGTTTAGCATTGAAATTAGAGTAGAACATTCTTAATATGATTTAAATACTACTGAGACACTTGTGTCTTCAACCTTCAATTGGGAGAAATGGTACATCATAAGGCAAAACCTCTTGAACCAAGGTACTTCAATCAAATGGGCTAACTTACAGAATGTGTCCAAAATCTAGGACCCATGACTCTCATGGAACTGAAATTTGGGGGATTTTATAAAACACATTATGACATAAAATTATCATAAAGTATTTTATGAAAAATGTAAAAAAATATCATTTCCTGTGATCAACTCCTGATGCTTGACTGTGCTACGCAGATCAATGTGGGTTATTTTCAAGGCAGATACATCTCTGAATAGCTCTCTGGATTTCTAAGGGCTTTTGAAGTGCATCAGAAGCTCTGCCATTGCCGAAGTCATTGAGGAATCTGGTAAGGAAATATCTCTGAAAGAATGACCCAAGAGGTCATGGGTTGTCTAGTTTTCCCGAGCATTACTTCAATTAGTGTTAATAAAACATTGATTGAGTGATTGATTTTGTGGTCATCAAGTTATTTTTGACTCCTAATAAACCACATAGATTTTCTCCATGATGAAATAAAGACATTACTCTCCAGTAATAACTATTTCCTGCTGGAAGATTTATTCTACTCTTTAATTTCATTTCCATATTCAGGGAACAAAAGATTCTCATGCTGTCCATGCATACAAAACAAACAGAGAAAATACTTACTCAGGTAAATATGTTAATAGATTCTCCCTTAATTCCAGTGACGCCAGGTTATAGAGGCTAGAGACACAGAATAAATATGGTTAACCCCTTTGTGACATAAAAAGTGCTACAAAAGAAAACAAAAAGTAGGCGTTGTCAATAGGACACCTCAAGCATTTCCTTAAAGTCTAAGTAAGCAGGTAGATATATTACCTCAGCTGATTTTTGCATAAGTTGAAACCTACACTAAGCAATATTTCTGACCAGGTAAGCCAAGCAGAAAGAAGCAGAACTGGCGGGAACAACATGCTGAGAGATACTGGACCTTTTAGATGGTAGAAGGTGATCCCCAACCTTTTCTTCTAGACCAGAGGTCTCCAAACTTTAAGACTTGTGGACTTCAACTCCCAGAACTTGTGGACTTCAACTCCCAGAATTCCTCAGCCACCCTATGTTGGCTGAGGAATTTTGGGAGTTGAAGTCCACAAGTCTTAAAGTTGCCAAGTTTGGAGACCTTTGGTCTAGACTGATATGTTACAACCCTACAAGTTAGATCAGACCAACAGGCTCCACATGGGCCTAAAACTACTTTTATTAACATTGGCTATAGTACCAGAACCTTGCAAGTATGACTGTGCTTCCCTTCTTTTCTCTTTTAAATAATATAAATCGTGTGTATGTGTGTGTGTGTGTGTGTGTGTGTATACCTATCTTTGACATTTTCATAATTTCCCCTTCTCATTTGGGCTTAAGCAATGTTCAACTACTTGTTGCTTTGATAACACATCTCCCTTCTTTCCACCAATGTCATTCTCTTTACCCTCTACAGATCACTAGTGGGGCTGTGCCAAAATGCTTTCATCCTTCCAAGTGCCCTACCTGCCATGAAAGAGGCCAGATCACTACCCTCCTTGGAAGTGCACCATTTAGTCAAAAATATTGCTGTAAAATTAGCTACATTAACTGTCATGCAACCCACATGTAAAAAGAAGGTGAATCAATGCAAGAAAGCAGGAAGTTTGTGTGTATCATTCTCAAAGCAGTAAATATAGTGAATCTGTATGTTAACTGAGAGGATAGCTAAAAATCCAGGGAATTTATATATAAAGAGTGTGTGTGTGTGTGTGTGTGTGTGTGTGTGTGTGTGGTTCTCACACTTACATACATTACAGTGTCCCCAAAGTCACATGATAAAAATCCAGGAGTTTAGTTTGGCAACCAACATGTATTCATGAGGAATCCCAGGGTCATGTAATTACCAGTTCTAGCTGGCTTCCAACATGCAAAGTCAATGGGGAAAGATGGATTAATTAACGACCATGTGATTCATTTAATGACAACAGTGATTTACCTAACTTACATGGCACAAAAGTTGTAAAATAGGGTGCAACAGATTGAACAAGCACCTCGCTTAATGATGGAAGATCCAATCCCAGCTGTGGTAGTTAAGTCATGGACTACCTGTATGTTATCAAATGTATTTCACGTACACTTTGTGGTGTTTACAGTGTATATTAAATAAGTACATACTTATATGCATAATAAAAAAGAGTGTTTCTACCGAAGATAAATCGTATGTTTTTATTGCCTAATATTTTCAAGACAATATAAACTATTTTCCTCAATAGTCATGAAAGTATATATTCACTGCAATCTGAATATACAGTAATTGTATGTATTGGCTTGATCATTAAGGTTTAAGGGATTAGTCACGGAAGGATCAATTAAAAGGATCCTATTCATAGCATTTCATAATGAAGTTCTCACTGTAAATGACCTTATATGGGTAAGCTTTTCATTGTCATCTCTTCATAACACAGTAAAAGTCTACATCACCATCGTAACATTTTCCCTCCCTGGACTCCATAGGACTAAATGAAACACAAAATTGGATTGGATATTTTCCCAATGCTATAATCTGCTTTAATCCTTCAATTTCAAAATAAAAATAGCAATATATCCACATTTTCTAAAACATAGCTGCCTTTGCCTTTGTAATGGATTCCAGAAAAAAAATGCCACAGTAATCATTTATACAAAGCTGTAAAGAACTTAAGAGAACAGCCATATGCTAGAGCAGGGGTGTCAAACTCAAGGCCCGTGGGCCGCATCCGGCCTGTGGTTAGATCTGGCCCATGAGGCTTAGATCTGGCCTGTTAGGCCACCCTGGGAACAGCGAAGGACTGGCTTGTGGTGCCTCTGCCAGAGAAAACAGGGCTTGGGGTGGCTGCGCATGTCCCCCTGAGCTCTGTTTTTGGCTGCAACAGCCTCCTGCAGCCCTCTGCCAGGGAAAACAGAACTGTTTTCGCATGGAGAGGGCTGCAGGAGGCCATTGCATCTGAAAACAGAGCTTGGGGTGGCTGTGCACAGCCCCCCCGAGCTCTATTTTCACTGGCAGAGAGCTGCAGGAGGCAGTCACAACAAGTGACATTGAGCCAGCCATGCCCCCCCAGGCCCCCGAGATCAAACAAAACCCTGATGCGGCCCTCAATGAAATCGAGTTTGACACCCCTGTGCTAGAGCCACATTTGTCAGGTGACAAAAGTTTGCCTTAGTTGGCAGATATGTATACACAGAAAAAAATGTTAGTATTATAGACAGTGAAGTATAAAACGAAAGAAAAGTGAGCTTGTCACAGTGCACATATTTGAGCTCTTGGCTAAGTATTAGCAAACGTACTAGTTTCTTAATATGCAAAATTGAACTATAAACTTTTAACACAGTAATTGCAACTTACAAATAAAATCTAACTTAGCCATGTTGGTCAGAGTCTTCCTTTGGAGCTTTTATCATTTAAAATGCCAAATTGTTTAGACCTGTCATTTTCTGAACAGTTCCCTGTTGATTTTATTTCACTTATTCTAATATAGGCATTCCCTAGGTTAAGAATTCCCAATTTAAGGATAATCCCTAAATATGAACCAGGCTTCAAATTACTAAAAACAACAGATGGGGTTTTCCTTCCTTGAACTGACAAATAGCTGAAGCTGCGCAGTGCTTTTAGGAACCGCTGAATATACAGTGTGTTTTCCTATATTCCTGGAAGTTTCTGAAAGCTTGAGAAAGGACAATGCCATCTACCATTCTAGTAATAGGTAGCCCATTTGTAAATACGGGTTCCAACTTACATATACATTTGAGTTAAATACTGAGTTAGGAACACAACTTGTTCTTAATCTAGGGATTGCTAGATTGCTATCTGCATTATTACCAAGCAAACTGCAGGACGGTAGGTGACATTTTGCTTTAGTCTTACTCCAGTGCTACCCTTCTTTAATGGTTGGATAAGAAATTCCCTTTTCTCAATTCTCTGGGTCAGTATGCAACACTCTTAAGCAGACCCACCTTCTTACCCACCAAATAAAATAATTCATAGGGTTCTGGACAGTGGTGGGATTCAAAAATTTTTTTACTACCAGTTCTGTGGGTGTGGCCAGGTGGTCATGTGACTGGGTGGGTGTGGCCAGGTGGTCATGTGACTGGGGAGGTTGAAAGTCTTTTTTTTCTTTCACAGCACCCTTCACGCGTCCCATTTTTGGCCTCCTGGGCCTCAGGGAACCAACCTGGGAACTGAAAAAATAAGCATTTTGAAGCTTTCTGAAGTAAGTATAACAGCAAGGGGGGATCAGCTGTGCCACAGGACTTAGATTAGCAAGAAATCTGACAATTTCCTGCTTTCTAGCTAAACTAATTCGCACGGCACAGCTGATCATCACACAGCTGATCATTGGAAATACCAGTTCGGCTGAACCAGCAGCATTTCACTTCTGGTTCTGGCTATGAAATTCCTTTTGTTATAGAACCTCATGGGATTCAGATATATGAGATCTCAATCTTAATCAGTACAATTACAGGTAGTCCTCAACGTAAGACCGTAACTAAGCCCAAAATTTATGTTGCTAAAAAAATTCATTAAATGAGTTTTGCCCCATTTTACGACCTTTCTTGCAATATCGCTGCAGTTATTAAATTAGGAACATGGTTGTTAGGTGAATCTGGTTTTCCCATCGACTTTACTTGTCAGAAGATCGCAAAGGGGGATCATGTGATCTTGGGACACTGCAATTGTCATAAATATGAGTCAGTTCCCCACTATCTGAATTTTGATCACAGGACCACAGGGATGCTGCAACTTTCATAAGTGTGAAAAATGGTCATAAATCACTTTTTTTCAGTGATGTTGTAACCTTGAACGGTCACTAAATGAACTGTAGTTAATTGAGGATGACCCGTTATGCCTATTGATTGGGCCACAGAACTATGGATTTATAATACTGGCCTGTTCTAGAAATGTATCAAGTCAGAAATAAGACCAACGTATGTGCATGTTTTGAATACTGTCATGGAGAAAATGTTTTTCAGCCAAATCTCAAAAACCATATGGTTTAGGAATGTTTAAATATTCCATGCAAGCTAATAGCCACATCAACATAAAGAGAAGATGCAATTTCTTAAATAAATAAGATTGTTGCTTTCTTCCTTGAGTATTCCAGATGTCACTTCTGGTTTGAAGTATAGAACCTATCAGGAGCCTTAGGGAACACATTCCAAAACAAGTTGGCTCGGTTTTAAATTAGAGCCATGCTTAAACGTAGCCGTTTTTCATTCACATGTGAATTTGTAATGTTGGCTATGCACTAGAGCTGTTAACTAGTAATTACATATGTTATGTATACATCTAATTGAACAGCCATTTCCATGTTCTACCAGTTGCAAAATGCAATTTGGTTTCTCAGCATTCCAATAACTGATTAAGCAATAAAATAAATATATTAAATCAGAGATCTCACGCTAACAGTAAAATGTGGATGTGCTTAGAAGACCATATCAGGAATTCTAAATATATGTTCTCCTTATTCATGCAGAGGAAATGGGCTGCTTTTGGGTTGTCCCTTTCGGTATATTGAAGGAAATTCAGCTGAGGCGCCCTGTGATTTAGAATCCTGAAAACAAGGCTTCTAATTTACACAAAAAACATCTAAAATAATAATAATAAGAAAATCAGTCCTGCTACCATGTGCCTTCTACATCTGGAAGGCAACAGAGAGAGGATGACAGAGGAATAAAGTTAGTACATTTATTATCTCAACTTTGCTTTCTTCTAGGCCAAGACTTTATTACCCTGGTAAATTCTTTTTTGTAAATTCTATAAGTTTGACTGTATTCATTTAGCAACTATTTAAAGTTACAACAACATTGAAAAAAGTGATTTATGACTAGTCCTTGCAACCTCCCCACAGGCATATGTGTTTTGACCCAGGCTTCATCAAATTTTATAAAACACAAACTGATTTTAACAATAAAATCTATTTTAATGCAATGCTGGGAATTACTTGCAAATCCCAACCAAAACTAATTATACACAGTTCCTCCAGATAAGAGCACGCTTTTCAGTGCTGTAGAATGCTGCCAAGAAACAGAATTCCACTTAAGGCTAAACATAAACCAACCCAAAACCCCAGAAAAAACTGACCAGAGTACAGAGCTTCAAGAAGGACTCAAAAATTACTGAATTACTTTGCTTCCTGCAAAGCTTTTCATCATTGAGGTCTGACTTTTATCCCTTATGGAAGGGGCAATCACCCCTCTGAGTCGCCCCTTCTGCTTCAGCTGCTCTCACCTTCTAGCAGCTCTGCGCACACGTGCACTGGGAACAAGCTCCCCTGGGTCCTCTGTCTCGCTGCTGCCAGACTCCGAAGGCTCCGAAGGCAGCACCCCACTCCCAGATGGTCCTGGCCCCTGCATCCCTGCATCGGATGCAGGACCCTCTTCTAAGTCTTCTCCAGACTCACAAACTGGTCCCCTTTCGTCCTCACTGTCTAATACCTTTGCTGTCTGCACCAGCTGCTAGTGAACCACAATATGATCAAAATTTGGATGCTTGGCATGCATTTACAATGATTGCAGTAACATAGGGTTGTGGGATCACTTTCTTGCTGATTTTCGACAGGTAAAGTCAATGGGAGAAGCCAGATTCATGTAATGACTGCGTAATTCGTTTAACAACTGCAGTGGTTCGCTTACCAACTGTTAAAAACAAGGTAGTAAAATCGGCTACACTTCACCTTAACCACTTTGCTTAGCGATGGAAATTCTGGTCCCAATTGTGGTTGTAGGTCAAGGACTACCTGTACAGCATGTGATCAGAGAGTATCCTTGAAACTAGAATCCAGAGAGAACACCACAATCCCCGGGAGTTCTTTACATTAATAGCAAATTTGATGTTACAGAAAGAGGAGAGAAAGTATCTCTTGTTTACAGTATAAGAAACATGAACTTGAGCACACTGCAATTCTGGGGAAGCTGCAAAAGCCTGCCTGCAGACTGACCTTTTTCAAACATCAACAGTATGTTTATTTTAATTTTTTTATTATATAAAATATAAAGAAAAGAAAAAAGAAAACAGGAACTTAAGGGAAGGAAGAGGAGCAGGGAAAGGGGGTCTGTGAGATACAAGGAAGGAGAAAGAAAGAAAGAAAAAAAGGGCATTGACTTCCGACTCTTCTTAGCACAGTACAAGATAAAAGTACTCCACCCTCAACTTTTTGCTTTTACATATTAATATATAACTAGCCATTTCTATAATGACAAATCTTTCTGATCAGCAAAACCCATGAATATATTTCAACCATAATTTTATACCCGATGACCAACCAAAATGTTACATACACAGGTAACACTATACGATAGCAAAATTGCAAAGTGAACTTTAAGAAAAAAAGGGGGAAATACTTTTTTTTCAATCTGAGATTGAATATCAAAACTCTTGAGCTAGTATGTGGGCTTAACAGATTGCATATTATAAAAAGAGAGAACATTCAGAAAAGAGAAAAGCAAGTGTGGGGTTTTTTTCAAGTATGATTTTATATTCTTTTCTTCTCACCTATGAAGTCTAATTTTACAGCAGTACCTCCTGTTCTCTAGGCTTCGTGCAATAAAAATTGAAAACTGAAAAAAAATTATCTTGACTTTTCAAAAAAATGTCACTTTTATTTCTGAAGAGATCTATTAATTTAAAATGGTAGCTAGCTGCATTTAGCCCTTTTAATACGCAGATCCTCATTTCTATTCCAGTCAAAAGATGGTTTAACTTCAAACAAATCCTCACCAGGAATTATAGATTGAAATGCTTAGGAAAAGATACTAATTCCATCCTCCAAGTCTATCAACGTGAATTAGAAATAAACTGGAGGATTGAAAGGTGTTTACACCAAATGCAAGAAAACCTTGTTCTGCCCTATGTTGTTATCTGCATATCTGCCCATCCAAGAAACCGTTTCATTTGTTCACAGTTTCTGACATGCAGCTTTGGTCACTCCACCTTTTGTGCAGAAGTGTTTATTCACTCGCCCATCCCCAATTTCACAGAAATCCTAATTTGTCACATTCTTACGCTGTAAGTTGTCCTCTCCCTTCAGCAGTAAAAATGAAGAATACATGAGAGTGAGAAAGAGGAAGATACCCAAGATACAATATTCTTATTTTTTGCTTTTTCCTTCTTTTTTTTTATTATTCTCTGGATCTCAAAACCACCCATCTCATTCAATGGATCAGGCAGCATAAAATAATTACAGTAAAGAAACAAACAAATAGTAAAGAATGGTTTCTCTAGGTTCACACTCTCATTATCCAATGACATATAACCCCTGCAACTAACAAATATCACTTTGATTACACCTGAGTTATTGGAGATTAGGAATTTTTACACAGAACAGTAAAACTGACAGCAAAATTGAACAAAGCCATGATCAAAAGTCTAATATTATTGTTAAGAAACACTAGGGTTCAGAATACACATTTAAATGACTCTCATGTCAGATATTTTTTTTTTTAATGAGCCAGACACCTTTGGGATATACTAGACATTTTACTAATCATATGTTGAGTTCTATCTTGCTCCTGGCCCTCAAACTGGAACACTGAAGGCGCTAATTTCTGGCAGCACCCAGAATATTAGGGTTACTTTATTCAGTTGGACAATGTTATGTTTCCCGCTCTATACTGGACTTTCAAACACTGAATTTAGTATTTTCAAAACTGCTCAAGTGATGTCAAATATTCTGTCCATCAAAAACAATCACAATTTGGAAAAAGATTCTTCTTTTGTGTCTTATAAGAATAGTTGTTGCAAGAATAAGTGAATAGAAATTTTTGCTGACTGCTATAAGTTATATAACTTCAAACATAATGGCCAAAAGGATGACTTTTTTCAAACATAAGAAACAGCTGTGCAAAATGATAGAAAGATGTGCTTCACACAGAAAGGTGTACTATCTTAGCAATATGGCATTTTCTGCAATACTTGCAGAGACTCTCCTTGGTTGGCATAGCTTCAGTTAGTACCAGCAGCAAATGAAATAGCTGTGCATGCACCTGCATGCCGACAGCCTCTGGAGCAGCCACATATGTGACTGTGTTAATGTTATAAGGAAAAGTGATTTGCATGTACTAACATACTTTGCAAAGTGCCTATTGTGAATGCTATTTAAGACACAATTTCAAAATTTCAAAAGGAAACAGCTGAAACACAGCAAGGAAAAATCTATGACGCAACTATTTCTACCAAGCATCAACAAACATGAACATAAATAAAGACACCAGCATGTAAATTATAGAAGAATTGTAAGTTTATATTTTCATGCAAGACATCTGTTATCAGCATCATGTCATTTTGACATTTCCCATTTTTTACTGCTTATGCTTGTATGTTTTACATATGTTTATTAAAGGGCAATATTCTTTCATTATATATAGAAAAGAATATATTTAAAACCATCCCCAGGCAAAAGGAAACATTCTATGCTGAAATAGTGCTTGATGCCATTCATAAGTTGAGGCTGAAATGGAGATTCCTCATGACATTTTTAGTAGACCCACTACTCCAGGTGCAAATGATCCAGGATATTAACAATGCCCTTGGTCTGGAGGGGACTGTTGTTTGAAATATTCATGAGGATTTAAATTTATATCTAAAGTCCATTCGTGACACATTTTAGGTGTCAAACATTCTGTAAGTAAAAAAAGCTTACTTTCCAATATTTTCAGGTAATGATTGAAGAGAGATGTCATTCGCAGAGAGACATGTTAAGTTCTGTAATTCAGGAAAAGTTTCAGGCAACCTACAGAGAAAAAATAAAACTTATCCTTGAGAATGACAAAGGGTAAATTCAGTTCTCCAGAAGGAAACCTGGCATTATTAATGTTTCAAGTTTATTTACTGGAATAATATATTTGGTTTTAGATGGAAGTTTACAAAGCAGGAAGCAAACACTCCTGGAGACATGAATAGAATTAAAATCATGTCTCCACAGCAAACCTTAAAACTCTAGACCAGGGGTGTCAAACTTGCAGCCTACGGCCCGGATAAGTCACGGGCTGGCCCCACCCCCGCCCGGTTTAGCAAAGGGGGGAAAAACGTCCCAATATGTCATGTGATGCCGTCATGACAGCGTGAGTTTGACAACCCTACTCTAGACTGTATTCATAATATGAAAAAACATGCTTGGTTTATCACAAATACTTGTGGATGTATGATTTAGAATTAATTGGGTCTTTAGAAAGCTATTGCTTTGGTTTAAAGTGTGCCAAATCTATTTTCAAAAGCATGTAACTATTTTAGTGAGTGTCCCACCTAAAACACTGAAATGGACTTTCGGTAAGTATACCCTGAAATTGACAGTGTGATCAGAAGGGGGTTCAGGGACTGTGGGAAAAAAGAAGGGATTGGTGGCCACAGGTTGTCTGCATTGGCTATAATTTCTTATGAAACAGTGCTTTCTTTCCACATGAGATATTGTCTCCAAGGAGCCAATTTATAAGCCCTGTTCTTGGTACTTAACAGGAAGCAATTAGCTGTTGGTAGGATGGATGGAATAGGGAACATTTTAACTTGTCTGGGCTACACCGTTTGTCTCAATCAGAGAACTTTTAATGAGTGGGAGGCAATGAAGCACCACAATGAATCACCAGAGATACAGTGGCATCTGCCAGCCAATTTTCTTTCTGGAGTTTGCTCTCCGGGACAATTAGCAACTAGTCATCCCTCATATCCATTCTCAGTAGCAAAAGTAGCATTTCATATGGGGTTGTTGTTTTTTAAACTGCAAGATCAAACCATTAATTTAAAACTGAGATATCTTATTATCTTTTGTTCAGAAGTATCCCTCAAAACTACCAGTACCATTATATATACATATGCTAATTAGGTATTAAATAATAGTCCTGAGACATCTATTAGCTTTCCTACAACTTCTGAATCTGCCTAAGAATTTTTTCAGATTCTGTATCATTGATGAGTTCCAGCCAGCTATTACAGATTGCAGGTATCTATTTGTAAGTCATAGGTGTCCTCAGATCTGAGTAGCATGAACTTTCCCCCTTTTTTTTCTTTATTGTTATGCTTATCAATGTTGAGATTAAAGTGATCCCGTAATTCATGTTTTCCTTTTGTTGATCACAATTTTTTTAACACGTCTGAATACCATTAAATTGTTCCTGGGGCAACGACAATTTCATTTAACTATAAAAACCAATTTTTCTTTAGTAGAATCAAATCTATTATTTGAAGAAGATATATAAAACTGAAAAAGACAATTTTACCCTTTTAAAAAGTTTGGAAAGGATTCACAGTTCTATAGATTATGAAGATTACCTTGTAAGAGGATTTCCACTGAAGTCTGCCACCTGTAATGATTTGCAAAATGAGATGCTTTCAGGGATTTCAGGAATATCTGCAGGAGGGAAAATCAGATATTAATTATCTAATATTAATTATCTCCTGCAATCAGGAAATCAAATGTATAAGGTCCAATACTCGCGGATCCAAAGAGAATCCCTACTACAATGCTTAAGCTCAAGACTGGCATGCCCGAAGTAGAAGTAAGAGCAGGGCTATTAGTAATTATACTATATATTGGTTGAAGACAACTCTCTTTCTTAATGGCGTGGTTCCATTGATTCTGAAACATGATTACTTGTCACCATGGGGTTAGCAATGAATCAGAGATTGAGATGCTCCGGACTTGCTATAGACCTATTTCTCTCTTCTGGTTTTGACCAAGGAAAAAAGGGAGTCCCTCAAAAAAGCTGAATGATACCAAATACTAAATTAAGGTCTTTCCTGTAAGAGCAGAATGCTAATACCAAAAAGCATTTGGCAATCCACAAGCTATCTACCCTATCCCAGGTGGAATAAGGACTTTTTTGAAGCCAGTAATAGGCTTACATCTGCAGGGCAAATTCACCAAATTCTCACTAACATAGGGGTCCCAACCCCTGGTCTGTGGACCGGCATCGGTCCGCAGAATGCCAGAAACTGGTTTGCGCAAACAAGTGAAGCCCCATCTGTGGGATGCAGGCAGCACATGAAACCATGCCCTCTCCAGTCCGCAGAAAAGCTTCTCTCCATGGAACCAATCCCTGGTGTCCAAAAGGTTGGAGGTCACTGCACTAACAGAACAGAACCTACCCATGTGATTCTGGGGAAATAGAAAACACCTAACATTTATTGCTTCACTGCAATTGTATAGGAATCTGGACCAAAATTACATACTACCCCTGCTGCAATGTCTCTCAGGAAGGAGATATGTGCTATCTTCTTTTGGTCTCCAACCTTCCTTTCACCCACAGAGTAACCAAATTCTATGAGACTGCAATGAAAGTGCAGCAACAACTAGCACGAACAGGATTAAATTGTCAGTCTTTTTATTAATTCTATTTCATTAATTTTATCTTTCTGGTTTTATTTTCTTTAATACACTATTCTTTAATTGTAATAATAAACTTGATTTAATAATGACAAATTAATCATGACTTTTACACAATAGCATTTAGAGGAAAGAGACAGAATAGGCTTAAAAAATGGAAGTCAAGCTTTAACCAAAAAAAAGCATACTATTGTCTTTACAATTTGGCAGTATAGGATAGTCCACCTCAACAGCCATTAAGCAGTCCACAGGGGTCATTAATTGAACCAATTGTTTGCTATGGATACAGGTATAGTTTTGCCAAAACCAAAAGTGCCGGTTTTTGCAAAACCACTGTAAAACACGGACACATGACTGTGGGACACTGCAAATAGCTGTAAATGTGGCTGAGTGGCTGAGTACCCAAGCTCTGGTCATATGACCATGGAAGAGGTCCAACTGTCAGAACTTTGAATCTGGGTTGTATGGATCAAAATTATGATTTGGGTTAATCATAATCATAACTTCAAACAATAACCAGTTGTAAGTCAAATACTAGCTGTATCAGGTTTAATATGTGAGTATTCAGAATTCCATACATCAATCATAGAAGAACATAGCTTATTTGTTTGACGTTAGTCATAGGCCTGTTTCACATATCACATTAAACTGAGGTTGCTTTAATCATGATTTATTGAATGAATTGAGTAGGTGTATGCAGTGTCTTAAATCATGAGTGGCTTGCATGTATACACATGGTATGGATCTAGCCATAGTCAGCACATACAAGTGGTTTTAAGAAAATAATCAGCTTTTACATGAGTAAAGTATTCCAAGTTTTCATATGTATTAATTTGACTATATTTTGGTAACTTAACCTACAATTGGCACTGCAGCAAAGAAATCAGGGTCTATGTTGTGACCACAAAGAAGGAAATCCACCCACCCACCCCCACAGCATAGTTTTATTTTATATCATTTGCATCCTGATTGCTTACTTTTATATATAAAAACAATTATATAAGCCAACTTTAGGTTTTCTGATTTGGTAGTCATATAAATTTAATAAAACAAATGAATTTAAAACTCTTCATCTCTATTTACAATTTTCAGTTCCAGAGAACACAGATTCTGAACACTGTCAACTTGTCCTAACAAGAATTTTTAATGCCTTATTCTCAATTAACAACTATAATTTTAAGGAAAATAAATGTATTAGAATAGAATTTTTGGCAAACTCTTCCAAAAGCCAATAGTTGGGGAGGTGTGTGTGTGTTAACTAGGGAAAATGTCCTATTAAGTATGGATCAAATAGACTGATGTGCGCCTGTTTATATAATTCTGCTCTACAACTAACCAGGTCAAAGAATATTTAATGGTGCTAGTTAATCAATCCAATTCTCTTGAATGTGCAGGACCCTTTCTGTCCTACACGACACAGAATGCTCTTATTTATACATGTGACCGACCAGATGCATTGGCAGTGGATACCCTGGCACTGCTAAACCGTAAGGCTATAAAGTATAAGCTCTATGACGCAGTATGGCACTCCATCAATTGAAAGTTAGCATGGCTAATGGGAAAAATGCCATGCAAGCAGGATTATAAATACGAGGACACACGTTTCTTTCCATACACTTAATGCTAAGAGAATCACAGCTGAAATGTGAATTGCAGTCACAGCTGAAAAACCTACCTGCAGTGCAGCATGGGAGTCTAATAAGACAGTCAGTCTGACATTACTACCTCATGCCCCCTCACTAAAATCCCACAGAATTGAACAAGGCAAGTGAAACCCCTGTTATCTGAACTAAGGGAGGGAAGAACGTGGCTGGAACAATTCCACTGTGCTTTATCCAGCACCCTTTCTTAACTTCCTATGAAGTTTCTGTAAACAAAACCTAAACCATACCATACCCAGGCAGAAATTTCTTTTTTTTTTTCCCCTTCACATAGATTTAACCCCGGCATAAATTTATACTTAAGGCTTTAAGTAACTTGTAAAGTAAAATTACACAATGGCTCCCCAGGGGTTGTTACATTCTTTAGCCTCCTAAGCAATGAAAGCAAAGAATGGGAACAGGAAAAAGAAGGGGGAAAAAATCTCCTATGTTAGGCCATTATCAGCAGAGATAGTGTGTTTTTTTCTTGAAAAGAAGCAGCAGTCTTTTATGAAATTTTGCAGAAGTAACTGAGAATATAGAAAAGGCCTACTAAGCCAGAGTGGCTACAAGAAACATTTTAGTATCCTTCTTACAACAATAGTTTTATTAGGATGGTAAGGTGACCAACTTTTTTACAATGAGAAGGAGGACACAAATAAATTGAAGAAGAAAAAAAGCCACTTGCACGCAGCACACTCTCTCAAAACAATTCTCCTGTGTGAAGCGCATGCGTCTCATAATCGCGTCTTGCCGCACTGTACCAAACCTTGACGAATCTTCATGTCAAATACAAATACGTCACATCACACACAACGGATCGGATCAGTATTGATCAAATACGGAGATTTACAGATTAGTCTTCAAATATCAAAAAGGAGGACATGTAGGAGGACACTTTTCGAGAGAGGACAGAACTTACAAAAGAAGGACTGTCCTCCCTAAAGGAGGATGGTTGGTCACCTTAGAATAGCTCCAAGATGTTCAGAGATATTTGATTTAATGTACCAACTTTAATAACTTCTAGTTTGTTTTATAACATAACGTAATGTAACAACTTAACATAACATAACAACAAACACTGTATAGTTATTTCCATCTTCCAAGGAATATGTATGTTTTTCTTGCAGATGCAGAAATGTTGAAGTGCAGCTGGATCTCTATATTTTGGAATGTATAACAGTGCATCCCTGTAACTTAATAACCACACTTTATGGACCTAACGTAAGTGCCACTAGGTGGAGCCTAATGTGGATGTCTGATTCTCTTCCTAGATTTCTAACCATTATAGGCTTAAATAACGGCAATTAGAGATTCTGGATTTTTTCCAGACTTTTCCCTTCTCAGTTCCATCTAAAATTTCCTCTTTTTACAGCTTGCTTATTGAAGAGATTTAAAGATCTCAAAGGTTTAGCTGTTTTTCTGGCTTTTGAGCTAATTCATTACAATTAAACTAGAATATTGGACTGCAGGATTCCTTTCCTCTATTGGTCATTTTTTTTATACATATAAACAAAAGAGAAGTTTTCAACATCTTTTAAACAAATATAACACCAACTCACAGCATTATCAAATGAGGGAATTGTAACCTGGTTTTGCCAATCAAAATTTTAATTAAAAACTTATTATCCAGAGTAAGATGATTAGAACAGCACCCAAAACTCTTATGGTTAGGCTTGGTATAATGTCTATACTAGAACTAACTGATGTGTTAACCGTAGTTAAGGAAAAGAAGTTTAATGTTTTGCTAAGTTACCCAAATGAAAACAAGGTCTGACATCTGTATACTACAAAAACCTTTGATGTCATGACCTTTATCTGGGCAAAACAATGCACCATAGGGCACCAATTTCTGAACCAAAGTACTTCAAATTGATTAATTTGCAGAATATGTCCAAAACCTAGGATCCATGATTCCTGAGAGAATGAAATATGGGGAAGTTGTGATTGCTTCCAAGTTACTGGGTGCTGCTGTAGTCTTCAGCTTCAATGTTCTGTGACAGTTTCCCAGCCAATCTCATAATCCCTGACTCCCTCCATCATCAGTTTGTCCTGTTAAAAACTAAATGTTAATGCTTGTTCTAAATTCTGACACCATTTCTGCTTTCTTCAGTCTCAAATTCAGGGCAATGTGATTCTATCTGAGATTCTCTCATTTCTCAAATCCCTATTCTTGTTAGAATTAATCTGAATCAAATTAATATGAAACAGTCAGCTTTAAGGATGAAAACAGGACTAGTCTCAGAAGGAAGAAGTACTTGTTTGAAGCCTTTTAAAAGAAAATCTGTTTTTGGCAATGCAAATGTGTAGCAGATTCAAAACTGGGTAGAATATACAATTACTTATGGTACAAGCTTGTAGAACTATTAGTAATTACTAATATTCACTATTAAAAAGTGCTATGTTTCATGGTATTCTCTACAAAACATTTAATTAATGCTTTGTTTTCAAAGTGAGTGTGCTTGTATGTATATATAGTTAGATCTATATCTTCACATACATATTCTTTGATATTAAGAAATATCCCACACCCTTAATTATGCTACCTGAAATACCTGTAAGTGAAGAAGTAGTTTTAATTAAGTACAAATAACTTGGAAGTAAAGAAAGTTCCTAAGAAATATCATGTACTGTGATATTTCCAAATTTACACTGAAAAATAAATCTATGAAGCTCATTTGTATTTTAGCTGTGAAACTACTTCAACTAAAAACTGAGTGCAATTGTCAGCAAGTAAGACACAAAGAAGCTCATTATGAAATAGGAGAGAAGTCAAATATTACATTATAGCCAGATTTTAAAAGTGCCTAAAATAGAAAAGACTTACAGCAAAAAATAATAACAATTATAGCAAATGCTCAACACAAAGCACATTACTCAGCAATGTTTAAAATGTCCTCTTTTAGCCTCTTCAGTAAAATATTTAAAATACTTTTTAAAAAATGGCAGTAGCTCACCCAATTGGATGATTTCATTGTAACTAGAATACACATATCATTATCCACAATGGCTAGCAAAACATCATTATCCACAATGGCTAGCAAAACCTATTCCAGCTTTCATAAAACTGGAATTTTGGTCAGGTATTTTCCATATTTAGACCCTTGAAAAGAAAAGGACCTAACGAAAGTGTCAGATCAGTTATAAAAATCAAGGCTAGTTATTTTATTGATCAGGAAAGGAAATGCAACAGCTATCCTTATACAATGGGTATAGGAAGGGTTGTTAATGTTAGGCCAAAGGAAGACAATTTCTTTTAAAAATACACATCTTTTTCTCACAGTTCTAATTGTTGCCAGCTACTCCCTGGGCAGGGCTGAAGTGAGCAAACGATGGAGAACTAATTCTTAATAGTCTTCTTCCTTTCACTGTGTCGTTTCTTCTATCTTCCCTATGCAGCAGACTGCAAGGAAAGGACTAATGTTTATCAAGTTACTGAATGATGAAAGGGTTGTTTTTTTTATTAAGCCAAGAAAGACAGTTAGGTGTAGTGGCTGAAGTCCTGGAATAGGACTGGGAAGAACACAAGTTTAAGTCTGTCCTCTGCCAGGGAAATTCCCTGGCTGATTTTAAGCCAGCCGGTTACACTCAAGCCCATCTGCCCTATGAGGTTGTTACTATGGGGATCAAATAAAGAGAGAATTCTGCATGAGAGCAGAATTCCATGAGCTCCTGGACAAAAGGTGGAAAAGAAATTCAATAAACAAATGGCAATAGGGGCACATGAGGTCTAGGACCACAGTTTGTATGTCCAAGTGATGAATAAATACTTCTGAACTCAAAGTGCAAAGGAGAACATGGAAGCAAAATAAAAACAGGCATGTAAAATTTGGTGGGTACTTGCTAGCAGGGGTGGGATTCTACCAGTTTCCCACCTATTCGCTAGAACCGGTTGTTAACATTCTAAGCAGTTCGGAGAACCGGTTGTTAGAAGAAATTACTGGCCTAATCCTGTAAGGAAGGCAGGAAGGAAACATGCTGGTGTTGCTTAAAGAAACTGCCTCTCCGCTAACCCTTTTTACATTCTTGGCAGAACTAGACTTCCTGTCTCAGGAGTTTCTCTGGAGTTTTTTTTCCTCTCCTTTGTTGGTACTTTGCTTGTGTGGAGTGACCATTCAAATTTACAATGGCACTGAAAAAAGTGACTTATGACCATTTTTCACACTTACGACTGTTGCAGCATGCCCACAGTCATGAAAGGCCAGGCGAGGAGATGCATGCCTCGAATTGAGTGATATTGAGTTGGCCACGCCCAGCCAATAACATGACCACCAAGCCACGCCTACCAACTAAGCCATGCCCACAGAACCGGTTGTTAAAAAATTTGAATCCCACCCCTGCTTGTTAGGACAAAAGAGCAAAGATGCTGGGTCACAGTAACGAATTTAAAAAGCAGTTTCTTCCCTTCAGGGATGTCCAAGGGGTAGGCCTTCCTTTATTTTTATGCTTGTGACAACAAGGTTGAGGCAGGCACCAAAATCAAATGAAATGTTAATTGTCAGGTAGTAGATTGCAATTGTTATTAAAAACAACAGAAGGTTAATAGCCTCCATTGTTACTTTAAATTATTTTCTAATCTAACGTCCTCTAAATATAAGAGATATCAGCCTTTAATGTGGAAGCATATATGAATGGGAAATCTGGTTTAAATAATACCTGAGTAGGCTTTTGATTATACGATTCTCAGGAATACAATTAGCAACTGTGAATGTTTTAAAATGATCCCAATAAAATTTATCTGCCATTTTTTTCTCAAAAGTATTAATGGAAAACATACCATTTGTACAGCCTATACCACAACTTTCTCAGACATGATGCTCTGGGAGAACATGACAATGAAAATAATATTAGCTAACAATTTTCAGGATCAAGATATGTTCAGCAGTATATTTCTTTCATTTGCTGGTTCTTAATCTCATATCAAGCTTTAATTTAAAAAAAAAACTTTCAAACTAAGAGTTCCTCTATCCCATACTGTCTACAAAAATCAATTAAAATAAGCTTTCTCCCTTTCTTAAACAATAATATGCAAAATAGTGCAAAATCTAGACAATGATTGGGTTTATGAATCATGCTTGGTGGCAGTGTTTATTAAATAATTCACAGGTGGCTGAGTTATAACAAGACACTACTCCCCCCTCCAAAAAAACACCACCCCACAACGGCTTAGTTAATACCATACATCAAGGAAAAACTAAAAAAAGGAAAAAGCCATTATGCAAAGTGTGAATCCAGGCATTTGTTGAACACACTGCATAAAGCTTGTCCAGTCCTGCAAAGTAACTGCTGTTGCTCAAATAATGTGGATATGTGGCAAACTCTGCATGCCACAGTTAAGGCGGCATAAAAAAGGCAGTCACAACGCAGGGCTTGAGCTAGTCTTAAGAGCTATTCAAACAAAAGAAGGATGGACATGGAAATTTTCATGCCAAGCTAACATGGGACCTTATTACATTAGGCAGGCCCTTCATTAGCTTGCTTTTCATTTGGACATTAATAGTTTGTTTTTTTCAAGTCAGTCATGAAGAGTAAGAAGAGATACATCAACCTATTTGCCAACTAGTTCTATAGTGCAATAATTAAGGCTGATTCATTTTCAACCGTGCTGTAAAAAAACCTTAATACAGATTTACACATATTCATGCTTACCATTTCGAGACAAATCAAGTTCTACCAGCTGCATGAAGTTTGCTATCTCTGGCGGAAGTCGCTGGATTTCATTATCGCTAAGCCCAAGTTTTCGTAATTTTATAAGTTGAAAAAAAGGCTGAAAAAGAAAACAATTTTCTATTCAATACATGCAAAAAAAAGGTAATTTTGGTGCTTTGTATGAAGAAGGAAGTTTTAATAAGGGCGAAAAAGAGTGTCCAACACTGATGAACATTTAACATTATCCTATTAATTGAGTTTGTCATAATCAGCCCGTGTTTCAGCGTGAGAGGAAACAAATCAATTCCAAGATCCATGTGAGACAATATTATAGATTCTACTTTAGCATCATTATCCCATGACCTTTTGCACAATCATATATATCATTGAAATCTGATGGACCCCCAGGGGAAAAAAATGATTTTAATTTTGCCAGGGGACCTAGCCAACTTGTGCATTCGTATCATTTTCATCTCTCTGTAAGCATATGTTCTCATAGATGAGCTTCGGGATAACTAAAGTCCACCTCCATAAAGCAATGAATTTCCTACAGTATTTGTTTAAAATGGAAGGTAATATTCATAGTTCTTTGTAATAAATATACGGTGTTGAAAAAGTACTCAGCAAAAGTGAGAAACTAAAGAGAAGTTAGATAGCAGTCTAAACATGGGTAAACGTGTACTCTGCTTAATTGCCCATACCTGTCAAGATGCCATTTATTCATTTATCTCCCTATTTGCTTGTTCTGTTCGATCTGATAAGTCAGTGGTTTTTGCTCCCATCACGAAGACAGGGTCATCATCTAATGGGATCCAAGAAGAATGCCTTCTCTGTCACTATTCCTCATCTTTGGAACAGCATCCCCCTTAGGACTCACATGTCTGCCACTCTTGCCTTAATTTAAAAAGTCCTTAAAATTTGGCCTTTCTCTCACAACCTACTGGAGTTCTTGATGGGCTCTGATTCTAGGAGGGGGCATTTGAGTTCTCTGTATCATCTGATGGCTTTTTCTCTTTATCTCTGCAATACATTACCCTGTCCAGATTATTATTTTTTTAATTGGGCCGCCTTACAACTCTACTGCATTAAATAAGTGGCACTTAATGCTATATCAAGTTGCCAAAAATAATAATAATGGCAAATTGACCTAGAAATAGATGTATTATTACCTGCCTTTCTTAGAGCCTTCCCACAGTCGATTCAGCATGTCTGTGTTGCTTACACAATTTTAGGACATTCATATTTAAACTATCCTTGAGATAAGGTATTTATCCGTGCGTGGTTTGAGAGTGCACATCCACAATAAAATCTAACAAACAAAGATACAGATCACACAGTTGATCTCTGGATTTTATTCAAGTGATTCAGGTCTACTTTCACCACCTATTGCTTGAAATTATACGGTACATTGTTCAAGTATTACAGCCCACACAGGGAGCCCCATGTAGCTTTAATAATACAAGTGTGAGCTCATCTCCCCACAATGAACACGGTACTCATCACACAGAGTGTAAGAATCATAGAACCAGACCTTTATTTGTCATTTTTCTCATGCATCATTTGTCTTAAATAATTTTCTGTACAGGGTACAAATAGGGACCAGTTGAGTTCTCTGTTAATGAAAAACAAACCATACTAACCTCAAGAACACTTTTAGACAGAAGCATTATATCTGTTAGTATTAGTATTTCTACATATTATGACTCTCATAGCCTGATTTTAGGACTATCCAAAGGCATTAGAAAAGCATTAGTGCACAACCAGCAATCTGCAAACTTAAAGCTCATCAAGAGTTTACAACTAAAATTATAGTACCTGCCAGCAGCAAATCCCATGTTGCCTCTGTGTAAAACACATATTCTTGTCTCTCTATGTATGGCTCTCTTAGAGAGAAAGATAACATAATGGGGGATGGGTCCCCAAATTTTATTTCAAATAAGCCGAGACATAAAGGAGAAAAAAATAAAAATAGAAAAAAGAATATAATAAAAAAGAAAATATGTCAAGAAGTGACTTCCTCCCTGATCACAAGTATAAGCTATGTTAGTAACTTATCACCTTTTCTTAAAATGCAATAAATGATATCTTCTTCTCATATCTCATCTCAGTCCTGATGTCAGCGAAAGTCCATTAAGGGTTACAAATGATAACAATATGTATATTTTAACCCTGATCAAATAAAACAACTTTATATTCCTTCCTTCTACTTCTTGTTTTTTAGTTTCTTCAAATAATGTTCTAAAACCTCCCAACTTTGATTTGGAACCACCCAGAGTTGGTTATAAGAAGAGTGTCTATATAAATGGTTTCCATATCACTCTCTTAGTTTGTTTTTTGTATATTACATCAGCTGGTTACTTTTGTAGATTACTCTTGTGGCCTGTCATTTTTAAATTCACCTTCAAATCAGTCTAAATACTGTCAGGTTAAACGTGTTCCTTTTCCATAACATTTAAAAGTTCATCTATACAGGCAAATACTCTTAAAATTAATTTCTGGGTTTATTGTTCAAAAATATACTTCAATTGGTCCAATATTGAAATATTTTGTTTTATTCTGTAACTGACTTGTGTTTGATTATTTTCCATTATTATAATCTTTAGTTCTCTCTAGTATCCAATTCTTATCTTATTATGCTTGCTTTAAAAAAAAAATTCAAAATAAAAGATTTTTTGCATTCTCACAATTAATTCCAAAATCTTATTTCAAATTTATTTCAACCTTTGTCCATTTGTAACTTTCTAAAATCGAAGTTTAATCAACACAGAACATTTAAAATTGTCAGCAAAATTTTAAAAAGAGATATTCTTCGCTCTTATAACAGTAGTGTTATTGCATCTATCATTTATCTGCTTAATCATAAGATTTTTTTCTCCATCTGCTAAAATAAACATTTCAGGGTCTTCATACCATTCAGTATACTTTAGTAAATACAATGCATTACCAAACTCTGAACCCAAAGATGTTTTAAATAATAACTCAACCTTTAATTTTAGAGAGTTAAAAAAAAATCAGTACAAAACAGTGCTGTAACTATTAATAAAAAGGACAATAATTATAAGGGAAAAAACCAGCTCTTGACAGTTGAATCATCTATCAGTCTACAGGGGAAGGATGGAAACACCTGAACTACCAATTATATATTATTACAGTAAAAATAAAATTTAATTGTAGTACTAACCAAAGGAACAAGTCACTACTTATCTTAATAAGGATAAGAAAAACATCCTGCCAATCATTTGCTATCTGTATTCTCAAGTATGAGACCCAACATCAGCTTATGACTTCATGAAAGGAAGCAAACAGGAGCCTCGTTTCATATGTGCTTTTTTCTTCCTTAAATGCACTAAATCCTTGCCTCCTGATTTGCAGCAAAATACAATTTCAATCTTGGATTGCAGTTAAATTGATGTAATGATCAGAAACAGAAACTAGGTAACTGGCATCCATGAAAGAAAATAAAGTATATAATGTAGCTTAATGCTACCTGGTTGGTGGTTTGATACTACCTCAGAAATTTTCTAGATTTGCCTAGCAGTAAGTAAAAGCCTTTGTGAATTATAATTTTATTGTTGCAGCTGGCTTTGTTAGTGTACATAAATGTAATGCAGACATGCAATATCCTAAAATCATCAACCCTACTAGCTCTGCAATTTGCTTATGCAGAATTTTAGTGATGCTTCACCACACCACAGTCTTTCAAGGGGGCTCAGCTAACCTGTGATTGTCTTTGCTGCGGATCCTTGAAATGCTGATGGCATTATGAGCTGATGATCAGTGTTCCCCCTGGCTGAGAAATCAAGGAATACAACAAAAAATAGCAATAGCTTTTAGACTTATATACCGCTTCATAGTGCTTTACAGCCATCTCTAAGCAGTTTACGAAGTCAGCATATTGCCCCCAACAATCTGGGTCCTCATATCAACCTCAGAAGGATGGAAGCTGCATCAATCAAGATCTAACTCCTGGCTGTGGGCAGAGTTAGCCTGCAATACTGCATTTTAACTACAGCGCCAACACGATTCGTATTCTATTCAATCTGATCCCAACAATAAGAAACAGGACAGACATAGCAAAAGAGAAGCTTTTTAAAAGTATAGGATTAATTTAATTTAATGCATTTATCAGAAATTAAACAAGCCATGCCCCATTGGATCATCTTTTCAAATGATCTTATCTAAACAGAGAAATGCAATGACCAATGGCGGGGCAAAAAGACAGTGGGAGCAAGAATGACTTATGACTTCAAACTGAGTTTCCTTGTGGAAAACTGGCAGAGTATCAGAAAACTCCCTCTCTCCCTCAAATTCCCACCAGCTTCCCCATTCACTGCTGGGAAGCTGCAAGTGCAAGGCCAGCAGGCAGGTAAATGGCTACCGTCGGGTGGAAGAGTGAATGAAGGGGTACTTGATGGTGCAGGCCGTGAATGGCATGTGCAAATATGTGAGAGATAGTGCATGGTTTGAGGAAGTATGCACCAGAGAGGCTGTGCAGGTCAGAGAGGCCCATGGGATTTATTACTCTTTATTTTCAACTCTAGGTAACTGAATGATTTTTTTGTAATATGTTAGAAGTTCATTAATGCAAACATAGATTTATCCTCACTGCACAAAAGAAAATTACAGCAACAATGAACTCTTCCTCTTGATAGTTCTTCAAGTAGGAAAAAAGGTCTTAATTCTTAGAAATATTTCCTATGTTTTTTGTCTCTTGGCTCATAACACAAACTATTTTTGTTTCTTTAATCTCAAGTGGTTGAAACCACAAAATATAGACCAGTCACAGCACTATTCTCAGCGTGCCAGTCTGAAGACTGATCAGCACAACTCTCTAAAATTGAAGGTCTTGGAAGATGAAACTGTTTTGTCTTGGCTGATCCTGTTTCTGATCTGTAAACCGAGACAACTGAATTTTTTAAGAAATTATGGTTACAACTGTGTGAACCAGGTTAAAGTAAGCATGATTAGTTTCTTGACAGAATAGTTATGAAATGAGATTTCTGCAGATGTAATTGTGGAAAAACTGCAATTTAAGACTTTAAATTAACCATTGCACAAAACTCTGCTCATTGTCTAAATGCTTAGGCATTAACACTGCATAATAACACTGAATTGCAT